GCTTTAGAGAGTTTGAGGGGCATGTACCATTATTTGGCTCCAGATTCTTGTGAGAAACTGCCTTTTCCCGATACAAAAGGAGCCAGAGCACCTATCACAAGACAAATAACTACCATATGGGTTTTTTTTCAGCTTTACATGTTGAGTGATGGCTCTTGAGTTCATTCTGTTCTGCATTCCCTTAACCCAGGTGGTAACCACAGACACCTTTGGCACACAAAGCCAGGGACAGCCTTTTGTGGCTGGTAAACTGATTTTTATTCCCTTCCCCTTGACTGAGATGTGACAAATCCTTTTCAAGGCGAGAACCTGTGCAGCAATTCTGCTGATTAGAATAACTGAAGTCCTCTATTGATTTCTAACTCTTGCCGCCATCCAACAGAGGAGGAGAAACTATCCAGCTGTAGGTTTTTCAACACAAAGCATCTCTCTGAATTCTGAAGTGGTTATCTGTCATGTGCTTGTCCAGACCCAATGGATCTGGATATTTAGTCATACTCAGTGTTGAAACTGAGAGTAGAAGAGATACCAGTCCTGGTCTCTTCACTTGTATTTTTTGTTCTCTGGGCATTTTATGAAATAGCTTTGACTTTGTCCTACCTGCTTGTTCTCCCCTGCCTTAGTAGCAATGAAAACCCGCCTTGTGCCATGTCTGCCTTACTGACTGCTTCTTGTGCTTTTGAGAACTTAGATTCACATGGTTACTGGGTTAATGCTTTCCTTCCAGCAATTATTTTTTAAATGAATGATGAATCACATAAATTGCTAATATGATGATCCTTCCCTCTGTAAGTAAACTTTTCCAGGGCTAGCATCCAGTTAGGAGATGGCCTTTTTTTCCTGTACCAAAAAAACCCCCAAACACAAAACCCAGGGAGGGAAGAAAAAAAAAAAAAAACCAAACCCAAGCCTTTCCATGTTTGCTTCACATTCTGATAAATATTGAATCATATTACAGCAAACTGTATCTCATTTCCTTGGACTGAGTAAACATAACTCGAGAGCTGCATGCTCAGGCAGTAAAAATGTAATGACAAAATTGACATGATTTGGTGTACCACATGGTTAAATTATGGCTTCAGCTAAGTGTTCATAGAGATTTAAAAAACGCAGGCTTTTCCCAGTTACAACAACCCTCTGAGCCAATATTTCACAATGAAGCATGTTTTAAGTTAACTTTCAAAAAAAAGAAGCAGAGTAGCAGTACACAGTGCAAACAGGTACTGCATTTTTCAGAGGTCCTGCAAAATAGGAAGTACCACAAGAGTTCACCAAAACAAAACAACCTCACAAATTCATGTTTAATATTTCTATATTTAGCCATTCTGTTACCTTTCTTTGCCACTTAGGAGGGTATGAAGGTGCTTTATACTGCTCAAAGTATTCAAACTTCAGAAGATTTAATGTAATTTTCTAGACTATTTTCTCATGGGCTGAAGTAGAAGAGAATATGATTGCAAAGAGTTCAAGAAGCTTTGATATATTTAAACAGATATACAGTAATACCTGAAAATAAAGACATCTGTCTAATTTTTTAGAATTTTCATAGTACTCTATTTCAGAAGTTGCAGGTAAGACAAACGGCATAAAATGCTTTTGCTCTTGAGCTACCAAATCAGAATTAAATTTAAAATCAGATTAAATTTAATTTTCAGGCTATCCTGTAATAGTAAAATTTTACAGATTTTCACTGCTGTAAATACCTATTTCTGTAACAACTTTATAATATGGATGTAAATATTGTCTTAGGCTCCAAAATATTTGCTTTAGGAAAATGGTAAAATACAGGCCAAATCTGACATGCCTACAACTCCATTGCTTACCTCCTTTTTAAATCTCTTTGCTCAGGGTAGAACTTTGCAGGGAAGAAGTTTGGAGCAGTAAAATACTGACTTTTTTTCTCTCAATTCATTTCCTATCAGCTTGATTTTTATTTTTTTTCCTTAAAATGCTCTCATCCTTTTCTCACCAGTGGAAACCATAATTTTCTCAGTAGCTTTTGAATATTGTTCTTCTGGCTTTCATTAATCTCATTCCAGGCTTTCTTTTTGCCAGTGTTACACTAAAGCTATTGAATAATTCCAGTAAGGAACGTAAAAGCACAGGGTTGTTAAATTGCTATCTTTTGGTGTCTAAACTGTTGTCTTGCTTTTAATAACATTTTACTTTTGATAGCACTTTGCCTTTAAAATTGTATTTAGATAAACTATAGTTTCTAAAGTGAACACTTTGCTCATTGATTATTTTTGTTGTAGTCTGTATTAAAAACAGCAGGTGGGTGGTGGTTTGGAGGTTTTTTTGGGTCAAATTGTGAATGATTCTCACGTGACTGAATGGTGTGTACTGGGTCATTGCTCCCACACACCACCTGATCTTTTGTTTGTATCTCCTGTGTTGCAGTCAGAGCACAGGGAAACCCCCACATACCTTCCTGTTAGCATCACATTCCCCCGCCCCTCTCTATCAACGAGTATCCAACAAATGACAGGGGCAAAACTGAGTTTGGGTTATTGTTCTGTTTTCTGGGCATCAGCTGTCTGCAGAGAAAAGCCCTTGCAGCCACCTTTGTAGGGGAAGGAGGAGAGGGACCAGAGAGAATTAAAAATCACATCTGTGTGTCAGGAGTTCTAGCAACCCAATGGAGCATGAGGTGGTTTAGTTCAGCCCAAAGTAGAAGGCTGTTATGGTGTGATTTTTGCCTCTTCTGATAACATGGCATAAATTTCCATAGCTGAAAACTGCAGAAGTTGGTCACACCTTGTAAATACTATTACCATGTAATTAAGCCATGAGGCGTTCCCTCCTGGGATCATAATATGTGACAAAAAACAATGATAACAATCTGGAAAGATTCTGGAGTTTTTTTTATTCAGACACAAAACATGGAAAGATCAAATTCTTTCCAGGCTGAGCTAGGTCTTATTTAATGGTATCTTATTTGGCTGCTGGATCAATGGGCCATGAATAGCTCAATCAATAATCAGTCTAGCAAGAGCTATCACATTTTTCTTCACCTTGGTACGCTCCAATGCAATTAAATAACAAGTGTGAAGGTGGGCAAACAGTAGTGTGAATGGAGTATAATTTGTTGATGTTTTGTCTTTCATAGGTTGAGATATTCCAGTACAAACACCTGCAGGATTTTGTTGAGATTGTCAATAGTTGCTTTGTCAAGGTTTTCTTCTGTGTCCATCATAGTATGCCATACTGCAGGAAAAGGGGATGGAATCAGATGCAGGACTTGAACCCCTATAAAAAGGAAAGTGAAATTTGGAGAAGAAATATTTTAGGAGTTCTGTTAAGCCAACCGATACTTCACCATTTAGCAACAGAGTCAGGTAACCACTCAGTAAGCTTGCTTTAGAGGGTGTGTCTCTGCAGCTTCCTTTTACCTTCTCTTGTTTTGATGCTTGTGACTGCATCCCATCATTAAAGTGTGTTGTGTAAAGCTGCCACCTTCCTTTCCTTTAAATATTTTTCCCTCTTTTTTTTTTTTTTTTTTTTAAGTAATCTGTGGCCCCTCTTTGGGAGTTTTGGCTTGGGGGTTTTTTTGGTTTTTTTTGGTTTTTTTTTTTTTTTTTTTTTTTTTTTGAGATTCTTTGCATTTTGTCTTTAGGAGTTGCAGAAGGACAGAGAAATCACTGCAGCTCCTCAAAAAGAAAACTGATTACCATGTTTTTGTGAAAGTGTTAAGACTGAAAGTTTTTGAAGCATTTTTTTAGTTCTCTACATAAATGGTAAAATAGGGTGTCTTATTTTTACTCTGTAAAATAGAGACAGTGTTGCCTTCAGTGTGTGTGTGTATATATATATATAAGGTATGTATGCACACACATTAAGCTACCTATATGTACTGCAACTTGTAGGCAAAAGAGGAATTAAATCAGTCTTCTGCTTCCCGATTGCTTTTGGGGAGGAGCACTTTTATTTTCTCATCCTCTTTCCTGTTTTACTTCTTTTTCTCTCTGATTTTTCAGCTGCATACCACTAAGGAATCAATTTTTTCATTAGGTTTTAAGTCAAAGTTCTAAAGTTGGATTCAGAAGCCTCAAGTTGGGGCAAATAAGCTTGAAAAACAAGAGCATATGCACTTGCTCATTTACTAAGTGATGCATTTCTTAGTGAGCATGTACAAATTATAAGAATTTCTAGCACCTCTTAACAAAAATGGAACATGATCATCTTCAACCAAGCCTCGATGTAAAGTACTGTGGAAATACTGACTTCCAACAGGGTGATTCTTCAGCAGATTCATGTTGTGTAGCTTTTGCTCTGTAATGCACAATGAAAGTGGTTATTACAATTTTTGGACAATGAAGCATGTTAGCACGTTTGAATTATTATTCCTCACACACGGAAGCTTTTTCCATCAGAGAAGAAAAAGGCAGCGGTGACTGTCTTTTGCATTTGTTTAATACTTGGAAGACCTCAGGATTGGTGCTATTACCATCATTTTACAGAAGTGAGAACAGAAACACAGAAGTGAGGCGGTTGCCAAGTGTCACAGAGTGACAATCGGTAACAGAATCTGTTTTGTTGCTTCCAAATGCCTGAGAGTCTTCCTCTGTTGTTTTATTAACTAAGTATCAAAATCTTCATATAGGTTTAAGATTTCACATTTACATTATCAAAGATTATTACTGTAAACCAGAAAATTAATCTAAAAATCTGATTCACAGAACTTAATATATTCAGAAACTACTCACTAGATTTTGAAATTCATTCAAAACCCATATCCTTCTGCTTACCAATTGCTTGAAGCCTCTGAAACCATCGGAGAGTGTTTGGAAAATAATTGGGAAAGACTGGGTTTGGCGCACCAATTAAATCCAGTAGTACAAACAGGTCCTAGACAAGAAAGAATCTTTAGTACAGAATGCTTTCCTATAACATCAGCAGCAGCAATGAAACTCTTGGTTTCCTGTACAGGTCATGAGCAGGTCTTTGCTAGCCCTGGCCAAAGATCTGCCTTTCTACCGTGGGGCCTGACAAGAATTCACTAGCAGAACCTGATTCCAATCTGATACTGATACTTTTGCTGTCTTCCCAAGGAGGGAAAGGCTGGGCTATTCCTCTGTTCCTGGAGCTGAAGCAGGCTGCATAGCTTAGCTTGCAATTTGTGCGTTATATCTCTTTAAAAGAAAAACAACGGTGGGTGGGGAGAAAGAAGAGGAAATTGCTTTTTCCCCTGAGAACAACAAAGTCTGTCAAGGGAAAGACATTTTATGAGTCACAAGAAGCAGTGACAGAAGAGAAGTGCCTCAGCAGTAAACAGGGAAAGTAGAAGGGAGCAGACATCCAGAATGTTAGTAGGAATCAGAGGAAAACAGAGGTTGCTGTAGCTTAGTACTGAGCTAGGGGATATTTGTTCATAGGCCAATGCTGTTTGTGCTCTTTCCCTATCACTTTGAGTTATCTTTTCCTGAAGAAGGTGGGTATCCTAGTTTATATTCTAATAAATTGTGTATTGTGATATTTCTGTGACTCCTCCTTGTACTTACATGCAGCTGAAAAGCTCTTGCCAATTCTCTATCATATCTCATAGTGTTTCCAGAAGCCTGCTTCTTCCTTTAACTTTAGTGGGGCCGTGGTTTCTTGGGAATTTGACCAGTTACCTACTAATTAGATATTTTTTAAAATGCCATTTACTATTGTTTCTTAAGGAGGAAAGTCCTTAAAAAGGGGAGAGCCACTTACTATGCCCTGTAGCTGGTTGGTGGTTGTTGAACCAGGTGGGTGTGGAGTCGATACCATTTTTTGAGCTAAGTGTTGAGATCCATAGAGGGAATCGGAAGGGGACCACCGAACAAAGGCTTCTTCACCATCAAAAAAAATGAGCTGAAGTGAAAGGTCTGGTCTTGACGTTGAGCTGGCCTGTTGGAGGAAGTTAAAAGTCAAAATAACTGATTCTGAGCAGAACATTAAATAAAGGGCAAATACTATAGTCATGAAAGTAACACAAATAAGGATGTATTTTCAAGGTTCCCTATGCAAACCTTCCTTTGGATGTTATTACGGTGTAATCACTCAAGGTAGTTGTTATTTATCAGTGACACATTCTCCAGTCTCATAATTTTGGTTCTGGATAAAAGTTTCATTTCTGACTTGGGAGGACATGACCTGAGTGTTGAGATCTGCAAAAGCAGGTAGCAGCAACATTATCTCAAATAACGAGGAGACGTGTCAGTAACAACACCTGATATGAGTGCTAATATTATTTGATTGCATCACAAGGATTAATATAATTGCTACAGCTGTGCATCAGTGGAGGTGAATTATGTATTTGACAAGTTGATGGTTCTTTGAGCTCCTTCTTTTCATTCAGGGGAATTTCCAATCACTGAGGCAACTTTGTGTGAAACCAAAGCAAAGAGAGTGGGTATGTCAGATATGTCTTTCCCTTTCAACAACCAAAATATAGCAACACTAAAACCTGAGAATATATGTGATAAATGTATTTAATGTCACAAAAAAGATGTTTGTATGAAATCTCTTCCAATGTAGAGGGAGTCTACTATCTGAAGCCTTGTTTGAACTATCAGAATTTCCTAATAATCCACAGCACAGCAAATCCCAGTCTGGTTCCACTAAATGAACAGTTTTGGGAACTGTAGTCTTAACAGTTGCTATAAATATTTTAAGCCCTCTATGAATTAACACTACTTCAAGTAAAAGTAAAAAACTGCATGATGTGGTTAAAAAGGTGGGGTCACTGGCAGCAGTCATGTCCTGTATGGGCTACAACTCCCAAATAGCTGCAGCTGATGCAATATAAACAGAAGCTTCTATAAAATGTCGGTCATGCAGGCAAGATGGCATTGATTGTGCTCACAGTGGTGTATTGATTTCTCTAATGGCAATGGTTTGCTGCCCTTTGTACGTGACAGAGCTCTGTGGGCAGCAGTCATTTTGCATTACATTCTGGAGAAAATTGAATCAGTGCTATTTGAGTTTTAGAAAGTAGTTACTTGTGTTATTATTACTATTACTGCTTAACACATTTTAATAATGTTTATTAATTTAAAGAGAAAAGTCTTTGCCCAACAATTTAAAGCTTACTCTGGAGAAGTAAGTTATAACTGGAGAAGCGTCAAGATAAAAATCACAACTTCAAGTCAAAGTATAAATAGATTTGGCTGAAAACATAGCAAAGTCTGTTGTGCTACCATAAGCAGAGCAAAACCATCATAACTAATGTATTAAGCAGATGGATCCCAAAATATATTTTGTTAACAGACTGTAAATGTGAAAGCCTGTGAAAAGTAATTAGTTGCCTTTTGTCAAATGCTGTCATCTTAGATGATAAAAAACAATTTTAACTGTAAAATAGTGTATTCATAGTGAAAAATGCCAGTCTTTAAAGTCAGTGTGCAGGTAGTTTCATAAATAGACACCAAGCAAATTTATTATAAATGAAGCTTCTGAATGAAAGCCTATGTATTACAGGAGTTTTTTGTTTTGTGATTAAAAATATTGGCATAGTCTTAATCTTCTCATTCTTAAATATTCACATATCAGAAGGCACCAAATCAGTTTCTGGAAACTCCTGTTGACAAGTAATCCTAATACTTGAGCTGAGTGTACTCCTGACACTTTATAGAGTGTCTCTCGTATTTGAGAGACCTTTTCCTGTAACAGCTCTGTAAACGTATGAGAATTATTTTTCTGTAAATACTGAATACTGAACCAGTAGATGGCACTCGTGGATCCGTAATCCTACCAATTTGTAATCCTACAAGCTTTAAGAGTTTGTAGGCTCAACAGATTTTTGTGCCTAGCAATTGCAGCCCTTTGAAACAGATTTTCGTAGCATAGGTAACACAGACTGACAACATTATACTCCTTTCATAAATAAACCATTCAAATTTGTAAAAAAAAAAAAAAAAAAAGAAAAAAAAGAAAAACTTGAAATCCTTGTGGGATAGGGACACCTGAGTGTGACTCTTCTGCAAACAGTGTCTCAAAGCAGAATACTATTGAGATATTTCTGCAGGATTCAGAATGCAACAAAACTTTTGAATGACCCTAGATGTTACTGGATATGAGCTCCTGCGTCAGGTTCTGTGCCTTTTAGATAGAAAGTAGCATTATATCTTTCCAAGTCTATGAAACATCTATTATTCATGTATCATTTGTTATTTTTATATGGTGTATGTTTATATAGATCACTTTTAGATATCTGCCCTTTTTATAAGAAATTTTAATGTGATAATGTACTTTAGAGTAGTAGATACTGATCTCTGCTTGTTCTTGGAGTCAATGGGAGATTTATTACAAGCACAGCAATCAGGGAACCCAGCATGCAGGCTATGGAAAAGAATGTGGAAATGCCCTGAGGCCTGTTGCTGTTGGAAAGGCAAATGAAAATAAAACAAAAAAAGTACCTTGATTAACTGAAGCTGGTTATCCAGGGCCCGTGCCAGCTCCAACATCATGGCACAAGGCACAGCTGAATCAGTTGCTCCCACAAACACTCTGCCCTGCCATTGCTGTCCGAAGAATTTTGAGTCGTAGTGGCAAGCAAGTACGAGATGGCGTTTTGCAGAGGGCTCAAGAGTGCCAATAATATTGGAAAATGTTTTATAACCATATGGTGTGTACTTCTGAAATGTATCTTCTTCAATTTCCCAACCAGCCTTTAATGTTTGAAGACGGTGCTTGATATGCTGCAATTATAAAAAACAATCAGATTAGTATTTCTTGCTTCAGAAAGATGTTGCAGACAAACTATTATTAGCTAATTAATAGTGGCTCCTAAGCTTATTTCTGTAAGTTCATGGTGTTTTAAAGGATAAACTTTATAGCAAAACATGTAATATCACTTTATAACTTTGCTACTTTGCTGAGCCTTTGACTGCCTCATTTGCTTTTCATTTCTTCCTTTTGACCTTTCTCTTTGGAGTGTGAAGGTGTTTTGAATTATTGCCAATTATTATGACACATTAAGATCTCTGAAGTTTTCAGGCCAGTGTCTTTTTCAGGTGTAACAGGAGCAGATTTAATGTTAATATCTTCAAAACTTAACTCAGATGTGCCTTTAAATTGAAAGTCAGAATTGGCTGCAGAGACCTTGTTCCTTGTTGTGGCTGTTTAGACAATTACCACACAGAGATGCCACAGCAGTATAAGGAAAAAAAAAAAAAAACTGTTTTGCTTGGTTGGTTGGTGTGAGGTGGTTGGGCTTTTAAGCTTCTGTGTGAAATCTGCCTTTCGAGTGATATAAATTGTTTACAAGGCAATGATAGGTAGATTCCTTTAATTAAAGAAAGAAGGAAACGTTACACAACAACATTTTAAAATTGAAATTCTGTAAGTATAGCTCATGTAAAGAGAAGAATTGAGACAATCTATAAGGCAAATCATTAATTTTAGCTATCTTCCTGCCTGAAGATAATACCTCTAACAACCCCAGCTATACTTCAACCAGAGTTCTGGCTAACTCATATTAGAGGGACATCTCTGTTTCTCTGTTAAGCAACTTATTTTTATGGGTCCCTAGAGGGCTTCTTCAAGGCAGATTCCTCTCTCTTTAAGTAAACATTAGGAAAAGCCTCTGAGGGGAAAATAGACTTTGAAGACTTGTTCTGCTCTTAGGGAAGTCAGTAGGAATGATAAAAAACAACAATATTGCCATAGATTTTACTGCTAGAGCAAACTTCCATTTTGTTCATGATCACACTCTGAAAGCTTTTACAACATGGTATGGTCTATCACCTATCAGTAGGCAGAGTTAAGGATTTGAGGGGACCATATAAACCTTGATGGAGTTCCCAGTAACCTTTTCCCTTAAAAGAGTCTGATGATTTTGTGTCTCAACAAAGACAAAAACTCCATTATTGTGTTTTGAAAATAGAGGACTCTTATTTTTTTCCTTTGGTGAGGGGTCTAATTTAATACATGCTGTTACCTTGTAACAGGATGATCCTATTTTGAACATAATCTGTGGTTTTCTAGCCTAGGCTCAGCTGTTTTTTTGTTTTTCTTCCTTTTCCCCCTTTTACTTGGCTGCCTTCCAGAGTACTGCTAAAGAAACCACAAAACTAAATCTACAGAGATGTGCACACACACACACAATGCATAAAAAGGCTGGATTTTTCCAATCTACCAATTGCAGGGTAGCAAATAAATTTATTGTAGCTGGGGTTGTCTTAGAGCTGTTGAGTCAGTGCCCAAAGGGTAGATGAAGGCTGGTGAGACGATGAGAATGTCTTTAGTAAACTCAGCTGTACCATTGTCTGTCTCCTGCTTGGTTAATGGGGTCCAGAGCCAGCACGGACACTGCCCTGAAGGTGCTCACACTATGAGTGCAGGACAGAGGTGCTGACAGGGCAGCACCCCGCTTGTGTGGTAACTTCTTGAGGCTCAAAGACAACGTGCTGGAGTCTTTACTGCCTTGGGGCTAGCTGCAGCCTGGGTTTGTCAGTCCAGCACCAGGACACTGCTGTGCTTGGGCCAGTGGAGCTGGTGTGGTTTGTGGAGCAAGGCTGCGCTTTGTCGTGCTGACCATTTCATCTGCCTGTCCCTTTGGGCCCCGATCCCCTTTTGTGTTGACACACCCATCTGAAGCAACACTCCAGGGCATTGTAACAGCACAGGACAGGGCCTCTCCAGAAAAAGTGGTGGGGTGTAATTTATTTAATGCCATGCATGGTCTTGGGTCTGAACCAGTGACCAAAAACCTGCTCATGTGAGGGAAAGGACAACCATTGTGTTGTACTTTGGGTACCAAACCTGGGGCAAACTTGTTAATTTAAAACATGGGGTTTTTTTAAAAAAAATTCTTATTTTTCATCATGCTCTGCAGCCCTGGGAAACAATGTCAGCTGATGTGCAAGCTGCGTCATGTAGGCACTATGGGGTCTAGACTTGAACAATTGTAGAGTTCATCCTACTGAATTAAAGGAATGTGCCTGTCACTTCTGTGGGACTGTCTCTTTGGTGGGGGTCAGCAAAGGTGTTACCAGAATATAAATATTAATAATTATAATAATATATAGTACAGATGTTCTTGGAGATTGTTCAGGAAGTGTTGTCTTACCTGTCGCACGATGTAACTTCCTTGTGATCCCGGATATCTTTCGATCAGGATAGGGCGCAAATCATTCTCCCACATTTCAGAAATATCTGTGTTGGCCACAACTTTTTGAATAGCATCAGAACCTAAAATTCTTGGTTGGTGAGAATACTGCAGAAGGTAGAGAGAAAAAGAGTGCTATAACTATTACTAGACCTTTTTAACCATAGTTTTCTTCAGAATTACAATAAAAATGGTATATTGTGCTACTTTGATTTATTCCCAAAAAAACATAATTAAAAAACCCTTTTCACTCCGAAATGATTGGCTTCTCTATCCTTCATTTCCATGCAAAATATGCTTGTATTTAAAGTATGGGAGAAAGTTTTACCTACCAGCTAGCTGTAAAACCTGAACCTATGAATGGGTTCTGTGTTCCCTAATATCTTAATTATACATGTCATGTCTGCAACCACGCCACCTTCAACTGAGGTTTCTATTGAGACAAACACCAGAAGCTTTGTTTCCAGTAGTAATAATATTTAGCTTTATGCTGTGTACTGCAAAGAAATGCCTAAGGTAACTCACTCCCAGAGGGAGCGAGCTGTGTCATTGTGGTCTCTACCCACAGTGGCAGAATGAGTGTGACTGCAAAGAATGTGGCTTATCTGGGGCTAGCTGGGACATTGGTCCGCTTGGTGACACATGGGTTAACCTCAGATCCAACAGCTGTCTCCTGTGACAGCCACTAATATGTGACCTACCTCCCTTCCTCCCAAGTGACTTCCTTTCTGTTGCCCAAGCGCGGGCCTTTGGGGCTATATCAGGTGACCCAAAATGCTTGAGACATCCTTATGGAGCTGCCAAATGCACATCTTAGATCTGCAAGAGCTCCATAGTGCTCTGGAGTGGTAGCTGAAAGCCAGGTGGGATTCCCAGGGACATCTCAAATGCCCCTTTATACACCAGATTTGAACCTATCCAATCTCTAGCAATTGTCTCCTCAGAAACTTCCTGTGCCACTACTGTTGTTACAGATTCCTCATTTATATCACAGGGTCTTCCCTCTACTCCTGTCTTTCTCCTAATGAAAAATATTGCTTTGTTTATTTCTTCTTTGATCAGAGCTGCCTTACATGACTGATCAGACTTGCTGTCCTTCCATGTACCTTGTCTACGTCGTCCTTTCTGAGATGAGCAAAAGAAGAGAAACTGGAACATGACCACATCATAGTTTATAGTGGAGGACAATGGTATTTTTTGTTTTATTCTTTTTCTTTCTTCAAACTGTTTAACAGGTGACTTGCTTTTGGGCTGCTCCTGCATCAAACTGACATTTTCATAAATATCTGTAGTCTAGCCCTATCATTGTATGTGTTAACAAGAAATTATTCACTCTCCTTTTCTTTCATGTGTGTCATTTCACATGTGTCTGAAATAACACCTAAAACCCATTACCTGGCCAGAATGTGAACTGACCTCAAAAGTCAGGTATCTTCTTAGGTGATGAATATTGTTTAAAAATGGGAGTTGCCTCATATTTTACTTTTTTCTACTTCATTTGTGTTTGTACAAGCAAGTACAAGCATGAGTATTTTCTAGACTTCACCGCAAACATTTAATTCTATCCTTCTCTTGTTTCCTAGCTGTTTATCTCCATGTGAATCTTTCCCCTAATTCCACTTAGGTTTAGCAGTGAAATTAAGCAGAGGGCTGACACAAAGACACTGAATCTAGTTGTGCCAATTTTAATGCAGTGTTTAAAGCTGAATTTTAAGACTGTAAGTACACCAAAATTTAGGATGGGCAGTTAACATTTTTAATGCTAGCAAATTTAGACATAGATTAAAGAAAAAAGAAAAATAATTTCATCTGATATAAAGATGAACTTTTGAAAGTTTGGAAATTATACCTTGGATGTTGTAAAACACTCTTTTGAAATACTAGAAGTTTAATAAGGTGGAACGTAGACCACCTTATTAAAAAGGCACAGAGAAGAGAAAATGTCAGGGAGCTGTTCGATTTAGGAGGAGCAGGCTGTAAGGGGAGAGTGAAAAGCTAAAGCTATGTACTTTGGAAGAGTGTAGGAGGACAATTTGATTAAGGAAGTTCAGAAAATCTGCAGTTGAACAAGAGAAAAGCATGCCTGGTAATTGGGGTCATCAAATCACTTGGCAAAGAAACATTATTAAAGTACAAATGCATGAAAATACTTCAGAAGAGAGGAATCAATTTCCACTTCTAGTAATGGAGATATCTACAAATTTGGGAAGTGAGAGGAGTTACAAAAGTGGTTATGAAATAAAAGAGAAGCAAAATAAGATTTGTAAGTGACTCATTCTTTACAGTGTTGGTCAATCCCTGTTTTGCCACAACAGGGAGGCAGAACAGTATATTCATGAGAGGGTTGTCACTAATCCTGTTGTACTAAGCTGTATAAAACTGCAAAACTCCGAGTTCTACAAGTAGCCCAGGCTTACCTGAGGACTTTGAATTTCTGGCTCACATGTCCCTCCAGGGAGAAAGAACAAAAGTTGTGGAAGGACAAGAATTTGATGAGGAAGAGGAAGTTGTTCTTGCTTAGTGTGTGCACAGGCGGAGGAGCTCAGGTGTGATGGCTCTGTGCCTGGATGGCACTACTGACAGCGCTGGCCAGGAGACTGACTGCTCAGAGTGGAACCAGCTAAAGAGGGAAGTGCTGGGGCTCCAGGGGGCTGCAGAAGGGAGACTGGGGCTACGTGATTGTTCATTGACCAGTGTGACTAAAGATTCAGCCCCACATGTATATACTATATATGTACAAATACATGTATTGTGCATAATTACAGATGTATTGTGTAACAGATATGTAGTCTATACATGAGCTATATATATTATATAGTGAGCTATACACATATATATGTATGTAGTGTAAGATGCAATAAATAGAACAGAATGAAACAGTATCTCATTAACAAACAAAGAAACAAGCCAACATTTCCTTGAATGGGGGCATGAATAAAATCAAGGAGAAAGGGAATTACTATGGGGAAGGGTGTGAGGGAAGCTTCATTTTACCAGCTTGTCCTGGACTCTGATCTATTGGTGATGAGAACGGTGCACTGGATTTGTGGAATTCAGTTGCTTCTTGCTGAACTTTGACTTCAGCTCTTCTACAAACACTTGGGGAAGGGCCCTAAAAGTATATTTTCTGTTTGGAAATTCCTGAAGTGTTTAGTTGAATGTGGTTTGCAGTTTTATGCTCTCCTACATTTCATGTGGTTTAATTCTTTATGAAGAAAACTATGTTAATGTTTCATAATAATACACTAAGAGCTGCTACATTGAGAAATCAGTGGTTTAAAGCTTACCACTCTTTAATTAAACCTTATCTCAAGGTTTCTTTTTTCACTAGTTCACGCAGCAGTCTAAATTAGACACAATATGGTATGAGTCTACAACATATTAGAGCATTATATCTTTTCAAAACAATTTTGTACCGGCTGTCGGCACCATGCCTACTTGTTTTTCCTAGATACATGTGCATTGCTGCTGAAAGAGCTATTTGTCTTCTCAAGCTAAGTCACTGTCCTCTGCCTCATCACAATGAAAGTTGGAGTATAGTAGAATGTTATAAGGAATACAAATTCAGATTTTGATCCATCTTGCCCTGTTTGGGTTTCCCCTTAAATACAGTATCTGCCCCTGACAAATCTTATCGCTCTTGCCGCCCGGTCCCAGGCGGTGCGAGACGACAAAGCCAAACGTGTGAAGAAGATCCGCTCTCTGCAGCCACCAAGCTCGGGCTCAGGAGAGAAGCCATGCCACCCACCCTCACCTGCGGGACCGCGCTAAGGGTGACCCCAGCCCGGATTCACTTTGGAGGCCAGGGCAGGATGGATGGGGCCGTTCCCGCGCCCAGCCGCTGACCCCTGCCCGCCGGGAAGGCGCTGCCCCCAGTACCAAAGGAGAAGCAAGAAGAGCCTGGGAAAGGCAAACGCCACCCACCTTCTCCAGGGTCCACGGCGCTCCGGCGTCCCTCCCGAGCGCCGGGGACAGGCAGGCGGCGAGGCACAGTGCCCCGAGCAGCCGGGCAGCGACCCCCGCCATCCCTTCCCTCCGCCTCGCCGAGTGCCGGGGCAGCAAAGGAGAGAGCCGCGGCTGTGCCGGCCGAGGCGGAGGCGGCACGGAGGAGGCAGGAGGAGGCACGGAGGGAAGGTCGGAAGGAGGCAGGAGGAGGGAGGCACGGAGGGAGGAGGCTGCGGCAGGAGCGGCGCTGGCTGCCGGAGCCGCAGCCCAGGCAGTGTCCGTGTGTCCCCCCGAGCCCAGCCGGGCCGGCAGCACGTCAGCAGTGCCAGGGGCTGCTGCGCCCCGGCCCCCTCCCGCCGCCTCCTCCCCCGGCCGCCGGGCAGCGAGGGCGGGCAGGCACTCGTGATTCCCACCGTGGGAAAAGCCGGAGCCTGCGGCTTTCCCCTGAAAGCTGGTTTTGTGTTCCGAGGGGCAGCTCGTGATCTCTCGGCCTTCGGGCATCGGTGGGAGCCAGGATGAGGGAGGGCTCTGCGGCGCTCTCCCGCCGGGAGCCAGTCGGGAGCAGCGCTCGGGGCCGATGGAAACTCGGAGCGGGCATTCCTGAAGTGTGTGACAGCAAGGACCTACAGAATTGAGAAGGGGTTTAATTCATTAATTTACAAGTTCTTATTATGATCTTTTTTAGGCCTAAAACAACAACCTTTTCTAAAATGAAAACCCACTCTTCAGGCGTTTTAATTTCTGTACTTACATTATCAACTAAGAACACAGCAAAATCTGTGGTGAGGTGGTATTTTGCAGTGCACCAATATAAATTAATAAACCAAAGATACAAGTTTCTGAGCTCTTGTTCTCTTGTTTAGGTGATTTGACATCACCGTTCTTGCTCTAGGGTGTTGTAGAAAACACCTGACTATTCTGTATCACAGATACTATATTTAAAGTCTCCGACTTTTACATATTTCTTAAAATTCAGGCTTAATCTCAAAACAAAATAAAAGAAAAAAAAAAAAAAGAAGAAATGAAGGAGGAAAGCAGCAGGAGTAATTTTGCTGCTTGTCAGCCTTGTACTGGAAAGCCTCATCCTAGTAACTAGAGTTTTGCAAGTAAGGGTGATGTTGGAGAAATTGAGTGATTTGTGATTTGCAGACCAGATTTGTTGACCCAGATTTCACAAGTTTCCTAGAAAAGCTGGTGGATCTGCCACCCAGCATACAGATGACATCTCTGGTGGTGATAGCTTTACTACAGATCCTTCTAGCTGATACTCAGAATGTGGCTGTGTCCAATTTTTTTCCTATATGGGAAAACAGAGAGTTAATTTAAATTGGTGCCTTTTTTTTTTTTTTTTTTTTTTTTTTTTTTGTCATGAAAGTCGACACAGTGCTTTGTTAGGAAATTGTTCCAAATTCACAGCTGAATCACTGGTCTGGTTAACAGAAAGAAATGGGCAATCTTTTGATTACCAAGAAAAATCAGCATGGTTGACAGATTTTTAGACAAAAGCCCCAGCATGTCAGAGATCAAGTCACAGGCAATTAGTCTAAATCCCACTATCCCAAGATGATGGTGATCCCAGCAGAACTACACAACAGAACAAAAATCTGTTGCCCCTCCATGAGATTTCCTGTGGTTGACTATACAATCCAGATGCTGGACAGAATTTCTGGGTGATGTGCCAGGGTTCTCATACAATCATACAATTTAGCAGAAAAGAAAATAAATACTATAGCTACAGGAGAAATCTGACAAGAATATGAGTCAGGACTAGCTAACACTGCTTTTCCCTAAGGGATTGTGGTTGCTCTGAGGGTTACAATTATTTGATAGATTACAAATTTGGCAAGTGTAAAGTCAGATTAAGGCAGTGTTAATATCACCTACATGAGAAACACACATAAAAATGTAAGTGCTGGACCAGATGTGTAGAGAGATCAACCGGGATTTTTTAAGGGCATTACTTTCAAAATTTGGAGTGGAGATGTCTCCTCTCATAACTACCCCATAAAGTTCTATGTCTACAAAGACTGAGGGAACAGCAAAAAAGAGTCCATGTAATAGAAATCAGAATGCTTCACAGCTGAAAACAGAATTACATAACTATTTAAATATGCAAACTTAAAAAAAAAAACAAACAAAACAGAAGTGATGGACATTTTGTTTTTCCAGAGATTTATAAAGGTAAAAATGTGTTGTTTAGTCCTGCTCTGTACCACCTAATAGAAAATGTGTCAACAAATTTCTCAGTGGTCAGCTGTTCTATTACATACATTTTCAACAGTTGGCTTATTACTCTGAAAAATCAAATAGATGTAATCAGATATCATCTAGGGGGGGAAAGGGTAGTTTAATTGAAGAAAAGCATAGGCAATCTGTGACAGTATGCTCTGTACATCGTCCCCTCCTGTGCCCAGGAAGTGACAGTTGGTGTGACAGTGCCATCTACTGAAGTCCCGACGGACAGCCGATGCAGGCACCTCTGTCAAAGCCTTTTCCTTCTGCTGACCCTCCAACATGTCAGCATTTCAGCCAAGCCGCCCCTGGGAAGCTGAGACCTCGGGCTCCGTCATTGCCTTGGCTATCAGCTCTGGGGAAATTTTTTTTTTGGCGCTGCGGGTTTGATGCGGGTTTGATGTGGGTTTCGTGAGGGTTTAATGCGGGTTTAATGTGGGTTCCAAGCAGGTTTAATACGGGTTTCATGCGGGTTTGATGCAGGTTTCATGCGGGTTTAATGTGGGTTCCATGCGGGTTTGATGCAGCTTTAATGCAGGTTTCATGCATGCCAGTTTTCTCCCGAGGGGGAGCTCCTGCACCTTCCCCAATGACAAATACAGTTTTAATGCTTGGCTCTCCCGACTGGCAGGGAGAGCAGAGGAAGTGTGGTTTGCTGTGGTTTGAATCCACATAGTAAAAGGTCATTTCCAATCCAAAAGGCTGGATGGGGCTCCAAGCAGCCCAGTCTAGTGGAAGGTGTCTCTGCCCACAGCAGTGGGGTGGGAACCAGATGGTCTTTAAGGTCCCCTGCAATCCAAGTCACTCCATGATTCTGTCATTTTGAGCCTCAGCTACGGCGGATTTGCCAACAGCAGTAAGGCAGCAGAAACTCTCTGAGATTTCCAGTGCCCAACAGCCTGGGCCGCTGCAGACTCAGCAATCCGCAGGCAGCTCTTCCAGCCCGGAGGGAAGGGGTGGTGGGGCTGATGGCACAGAGCAGCACAGGGGCCTGCAGGTGCCTGGCGCTCATGTGCACCTTGTGGGCTTGAGCAGCTGCTGCTCATCCCGCTTAACTCATCCACTGCTCCTCCTCCTGGGGCTTGCAACAGCCTTTATCAGGCTGTGGAAGCAGCCTGCTTGGTGATTCAGGTTAAGGAGATCCTGTTTCCATGGGCTGATGCCTTCTCAGACAAAGCTTTAATAAGTGGAAAGTGTGTAATGTGTTAGGTTTACCCTAAACACTTATTTAGGAAAATAACTTTATTTTGGAGCTGATACAGTAGAATTATACATATGATATGAATGAAGCTACCCATCCAGCAGATGAAAGGATCTATGAGGTCATTCCTTAAACTGGGGAGGGGGGGGGTAAGTGGATTCCAAAACTCAATTACCTAGGATTTTAAATACAAATATTCATTGTGTTTAATTAAAAAAAAAAGTCAAAAAATGTATGTTTATACCAAGGTAAATTTTGATTTTATGTTTATAAGTCTATACTAAACTTTTCACTGGTTTGTTGGGAGGTAAATTTTGGGACAAAGTTCAGCTAAGGGCTCAAACCAAGACGATGAGGTAATTCATAGACATACCCACATTTCAGGATTTTATCCAAACCAAACCTGAACTCCTAACTTTTTTTTTCAGTTCCCTTATGGGAGAAGTTGAGTTGAGAGAGTGAGAAAGAAAAGAGACAATGAACAGAAAAAAGAAAAAAAAAAAAGGAAAAGCATTTCTATATTTTGTCTATAGAGATATTACTTCCTCTTTTTGCAGACATTTGCTGCAGATCCTAAATGAGGGCAACATCAGGGTCGAAAGCAGTGAAAAATAATCATGGCAGCATGTACTTATGGAATTTCTAAGGCAAATGCACCAGTAAACTCTTCCAAGACATTGCCTTGAGTATGAAAATGTTTAAAACATTAGATTGGTGAATAGAAATGAATACATGATGCATCCATTTTCAGATATGAAATACCAAATGCTAGAGGTATTATTTTCAAACTGGAAAAACTTGAATCATTTTTAGAGTTATAAAACAGTTCCAAATGCAGTTTGTTTATATAGCCCTTGTGGTCTGTACAGAAAACCAGGTTTTTGTTTATAAAAGCAAATAAATACAATGAAAGTTACCCATTTCCTAGTATCTTGTAGATGTAAGAGAGAGTGATTTGTAAAGCACAGCTGGCTTCAGCAGGGAAAGCTGAGCTGTGAAAGCAAGCTAACCATCTGAGGGAATGATGTGGGCTCAGAAAAAAAGTTAAGAACACTGATGAAATCCACAGGAAATCACTAATTATGGTAGTCATAAAAATAACAACCCGGAATGCTTGCCCTGTCAATTGCTGCAGCCAGGGCTAATGCTGTCATGATGCTGCAGTCACAGAGTCAGCTGTGCATGTGCACAGATGGGTGTGCTGCTCCACACTGATACTGCATGCAGAGCTGCTTTCAGATGTGTTTTACACATCTTTACAACAGAGTTCTTTACAAACAGAACAGGGTTTGGATGCTTCAGCAATATTTGTTCAACAGAAACTAACACCAAAGAAGTGCTTACAGCAGTTTTGTTTATTTTGATAATTTTATTGATGCTGTCCTGTGTTCTATAATAAATTGATTTTAACTAATCCATCTTCTGATTTATGAAAAAGCAGCTATTACAGCTTAGGGCAGCAAATTAAATGGCACCAACCCTACTGGATGGTATAAAGCTGAGCTTCTTTACAAAGAAATATAATCATTGCCCAGTGGCTGTGGTAATACCTA